GCACAAGAGAGCGGCATGTTTAGAAAGCCATGTAAAATTAATGCAAGTTCAACTTTTAAAAAACATGTCTCAAGACGTTATGGCGGTTTCCCCCATCCCACTGCATCTCAAGTTTTTAAATGAAGAAAGTAGCCTACTCTTTGTGATTGGTTTTCGGTCCTTTGTATTAAACTATACATACATGCATGGTGCTGCTTTTTCCCCCAATTGTTTAAGCAACTTTATTAATTATATATGGTTTATAAACATTATTTTAAACATTATGCACTTTTTTTCAAAGATAGTTGTGTTATTTTATTACGCTTGGAAGAAACGTGCATAATATTTTGCTCGATGCGCCCTCTAGTGGCCTCAAGAAAGAAGCCAAAAGCTTTTTTCCCCCCTAACTGAAATTATGCCTTTTAAATTCGAATATAATTCGATTTTTGATAATATTTTAGTACAAAATTCGAATTTAGTTTTTCAGTCATTTTGACAGCCCTACAATACAATAAGACATAAATATTTAATAAATAATTTAAGGACAATATATAAGTACCATATTCGGTATCACCCAATATTATGCATTGTTTTTAAATGAATCAGCATTGATTTATATTAAAAATATAATTGTGCATAGGTTTTTTAAACTCTATTTTTACATTTAGATTACCTGTGTCGTCATTTAATGCTACCTACTAAATCTTTTAAATATGTTTAATCATTTGGTTTAATAATTTATTTGTTTGATTACAGTTGAGTACAATTTTTTTTACCTTGTTCTTGCAATGAAAATAATGATGACTTGGAATGAATGAATGAATGAATGAATAAATAAATATATTTTTAAAAATGTAATGCTCACTATAAATCTGTAATTTCTTAAATACTAATATATATAATCCTAAAATGAATATCTGTTTTTCTGAAATTTTTTCATAATATTGAGATTAATGTTTCTTAATTTTAATATATAGAAGAAAAGTTATTACATTTTTTCATTAATAAAAGTGTCCATTAATCACTTATTTTTACAGAATTTTAATATCAGTGCATCCCTAAAATAATTAAATGAATGATACTCATCACACTAAACAATTCGTCCATCGATGTATAAAATTTGTGGGGTGTTTACAGTTGACAAACTACACAACAATTCAAAATTATTTGATGTAATTATTGGTGCGTCAAAACCAGTGTTGCTAAGGTTACTTTGGAAATGTAATAGGTTACAGATTACAAGTTACCCTATTTAAAATGTAATAGTGTAACTATTTCAAATACTTTATTAAAGTAATGTAACCGATTACATTTGATTACTTTTCTAATTTTTTAACAAATGTTTTCAAATGTTAATCATTTTGAAACATTTAAAGCAGGCAGAGTTAACTTTACAGTAGGACTCAACGCTGGTTACTGTCAGACTTTCAAAATCCTTCTTGACTTGAATTAAGATTATAATTATTTAATTTAAAGCACAGCCACCACAAAATCAGACTTTAGCTGCTGTGTTTACTTTGAGATCATTCTGCGGTTAAATACAGATTTATGATCATAAGAAATAGTTTAATTGCTATGATACCGTTTTGAAATCAAAATCTTTGCATAGCCATGACAGGAAACACTGGCATCTAGCAATGCTTTGGAAAAAACTGTTCATCTTAAAAATAAAAATAAAGCATATACATAAACCCAAACAGGAAATAAAACAGCTATTGAATAAGTGTCCTATTCTGTGTCCAAAACTCCTGAAACATTGGTGTCTCATATTTTAGAGCAGTCACCGCAATTTGGGAAAGAAATTAATCAAATCTGTGTGTGTGTGTTTGTGTGTGTGTGTGTTTGTGTGTGTGTGTGT